CTGGGCACTGCTGCCTCATGCTCCAGGCTAGGCCACTTGAGGTCCTGCTGGTCCTGCTCATCTGAGGCAGTGTCACCGAGGAGGCCAGGGGTCAGGGTGGAACTCCTAGTAAGCTGCGCATGGTGGCTGCAAATGGATTTTATGAGTCTGACCAGTGGGCCCAGGACACTGACAACCAGCCCTGTCTGCTACACCTTGCCCACTCTGGACTGCAGCCCCTGACCCACCAACAGCCCCCATGGCTGGGTACTAGGAGCCAGATAAGGAGGGACAGGTGGGAGCTGGGGCAGCTCAGAAGCAGGTGTGAGGAAGGGAGAGGCTCAGGGTACTCTTCGGGACAGGTGGGCTACACTCAGGTGAGGAGCCATGGCCTCGACAGTGTAAAAGTTCAATAAGCCAGGCCTGGGGGCCCCCTCTGTACAGGGCCCTGCTCCCTCCCTTTACATCTCTCAGCCTTGTACCAGCAGCACCCTGCCACAACAGGGGTCCCCAGCTTCCTGCTTCTGCTGGCCCAGGGGGGCTTCTTGGCCCCAGGCATACAGGTGCGTGAGCCAGATGCAGAGACCTCGGCCTGCAGGATAGCTGATACATAAATACAGCCCTTGTGCTCTCTGTGCAGTCTGAGAGGTGTCCTGAAGCATCTCAAGGCCCACAGCATACAGCTTATGTGGGACTGACTCAGTTTCCCCACCCAGCCCAGTTTGTTTGTGGATCTACCTCCTATGCACTCCCTACACCATTCAGGCTCTGCAAGACACTATGAGGTACACTGGGGTAGCCCCATCTTTGAGTGGGGCCTGGGCCTCCCTCACCTTCCAGCGCCCTTGGGCAGGAAGCTGGTGTGACCCAAGACCCTTCTGCACATGTGACTGGCTTTTCACTCCAAGTGACAGCCAGAGAATATGGGGGTGGGGGTCAGACCAGGCTCTGAAGTGGGCATGGAGAGGCTGGAGGGAGACCACACAGCCAGGTGACGGGAGGTTGGAGGAGGCCCCTCAGCATCCTCTGCCCCAAGGTGCCTCACAGGGTCCCACCACCCTCCAAGCCACCTGTCTTCTTTATAGATGGGAAACTGAGGCTTCAGGCACTTAGCTGCTTAGGCACCTGCGTCCCAGGTAGAGATCTAGGACCCCACAACCTGCATGTGTGAGGGACAATGTCCCACACAGTCTGGAGGATGCTAGACAGCCATGGAAACATCCACATCAAGGGAAGCCAGACAGCACAAACTGTCACAGGGCACCACCTCCCGACAACCCCACTCCATGCCCATTTCAATTTTAAGTCAAATTAACAATCTTTAAAACAAAAACTCATTTAGGGCCAGGGATTTAGCTCAGTGGAACAGCCACCTGCCTCGCAAATACAAAGTCCTGAGCTCAATCCCTGGTACAAAAAAAAAAAAAAAAAAAAAAAAAAAAAATTTTAAATTTTATGTCGGAGCCAACTTTTGATCCACGGCTAGGTCTGACACCCAAGGCAGAGCACCCTGGTGCAGCACTTGGGAACCAAGCAGTCTTATTTCATCACCATTCCTAGAATTATCCCAGCCCTGGACAGATTTCAGATCTCCTGGCTTCAGCCAGGGACAGCTGGACCAAAACAGTGACAGGCTTCTAGGTTGCCAAGCCCAGAAACCCCTAACTTGGGCTTCACCCTGTGGTGGAAGCCGGGAGCTGCCCAGGCCCCTGTGCCCCTCATAAAGGGAAAGAAACCCCCTACACACACACACTCACACACACACACACACACTGCTGTACACCTGACCCCTCAGCTGCACCCTGGACTCAGCTGTATATTCTGGGGACCAGGCTTGCTGGGCTCAGGGTAACAGCCATCAGTCTACCTGGGGCAGGACTGACACCTCAGCTGTGACCCAGGAGCCCAAATCCTGCCTCTCTCTGTCCTCCCTTTGGGCACCATCCCAGGGTGATTCTTGATCCATCCCACGGGGACACCCACAGCCTATCCAGTCTCTGAAAGCAGCCAATGTGGTTGTAAGTAAACAATGAGGGTCTCAATCCTGGGCTCAGTCACCAGTACCTGCCCAAGACCCCACAGGAACAGGGTGTTGGGCACTGGGGCTGCCAAAGCCTCAATATTACACCAGGGATCCCCCAGCTCACACCTGGGACAAGGGGGGCGGGGCCCTTGAAGGCTCTAGACCCACCTGACTCAGCACAATTCCCTCTGGCACATCCCAGAACTGTGTCCCTGAGACTATCTGCTCAGGGTCCCCCAGGGCACTTCAAGGGCACAACTCCATCCTTAAAACAGACGCATTCTCCAATAGGTCAAATTCCCATCTATGGAAGCCCTTCAGAAATGTGAGGCCAAGCAGGAACAGACTCAGGACCCTGGGAGCCACATCCTCGCCCTGCATTTCCTGCAGACAAGAAAGTAGAAGGGGCTGGGGATTTAGCTCAGTGATTCCAGTGCCTGCCTCATAGCACAAGGACCTGAGTTCCATCCCCGGTACCAAAAAGAAAAAAGAAAAAAAAAAAGTAGAAGCTAGTGGTGCTTCTGATCCACAGGGAGCTTCAGGTTGCTGAAGCTCAGTGCCTGCTCCACAGAAAGGATCCAGGCAGAGGTTCAGCCGAACTGGCTCTGGGCCCACCTACCAGGGGAATCTAGGCGGCATGCAGAAGTGGGACCAGCCTGGTCCAACCCATTCACCAGCCAGGACACCAAGGCCTGAATGGAGAGGACTGAGGGACAGGATGCAAAAATGGTGTGGCCAGGTGAGCTCGTCTCCAGGAAGGTACAGGAACCTTGTCGACACAGAAGGCTCCACTGCTGCCCACACACCCTGCAGCCAGGGCTCACTGCTCTGCAAGAGGATGTTGTGACTTGCATTCCAGGTCCCAGCATAGGTGCAGACACCTGTCTCAGGAGTCCCAAAGGCACCAGTAGCATATGGTCCTCACAAGGTTTGGGGGAAGGGTGCCCTCAACTTGCAGAGGCTTCGCTGGAGGTGTGGATGGAGAGCCCCCATGGCCCAAGGTCCCAGGGCACTGGGGATGAAAGAGCCAAAAGTGAGCAGAGTCGTCTTGCAGGTCACACCCAGGGGGCCACTTCAGAAGCTGGAATGCCAGGAATGCAGGGCAGACCCAACAGAGGCCCGGGGTGGGGGCAGCTCAGCCCTATCCAGCCAGACCTGGCCTCTCCCTGCGGCCACCTCCACCCTGACCTGGGGAAAGAGGCAGGGCTGAGCAAAGTAGTCCTCCCTTGTGGGCCTGTCCCCAGGGCTCCAACATCCTAAGCAGCACCAGCTCCAGCTCCTCAGGTAGGATTCCCCACAGGCTTTAAAGGACTCAGTGTCTCACCAGACAGTCTGCACACAAGAAAAACCACACAGTGCACTGGCATCTCAAGCACACACAAAGGAATGTGTATGCACCTAGCACATCAGACACAACCAATGGCATGGCATCCTAAGCGGTGCAGTGCAGAGATGTCACGGGGCCCAGCAGGGCCTCTCCAGTGCCAGGCAGAATCTACAGGAAGGGAGCTGGGGTACACAGCCATCCAGGCCTTCAGCATATCCCCTCCATTCTTCAGGCAGCTTCAACCACTTGAAAAATGTCCGGAGCCCAAAAGCTGCAGAGCAAGCCACTGAGGATGTTCCTTATAACACATGTCCACGAGCTCATGTGCCAGAGACACAGCCACCATGCCAATCACCCAAGGCATGAGAGAGGGTCGCAGGAGCTGAGAGGCTGTGCACTCCAGGGTCACAGCAGGTCAGCTCACTGCTTGATGCTACCCACTGACCCCTCACAGCTCTGGTGCAGGACAGCCTCGGTCCCTGAAACAGGCTTTCCGGATGGTACTGGAGCCCAGACAACGGCATTCCAGGTGCTCAGTGGGGGCAGGTCAGAGCCACCAGCCCAACAGCAAATCTCCCCCATCATCACTCAATAAATGCCCTTGTGACCAGGGGGTAGGTTAGACTCCAGTAAGCAATGAGAAAAACGTGACCACAAATGTGTTTCACGTGCATTTTTTTTTGTTGTTGTTCTGGTTCAAAAAATTATTAATAATAATAATAATAGTCAGGCTCTCAGGTATATAAAACCGGTAACAATAAAAATACAAACTTTACCAACAAAAAAATGAAACAAAACCAAAAACAAACAAAAACCCACAAAGAAACTACACATGCACATTTCTGTTAATACAAATAAAGCATGACATCTTACCAAAAATAAAGAATTTAGGTTCTGTCCAGACACTCCGAGGGGCACAAGAGCCGCACAGCCACCCCTGGGGAATAGGGGTTAGTGCCTCGGGGTGACATGGCCTCACTTCATTGGAAAAATAAGTGGGTACGGGAGGGATATGCAAAGCCAGAAACATTTAGGAAATGATGCATAGGTCGGTATACCATGTTTATTTTAATACATCTCATTAGTTGCATCCTGCTAGGAAACACACTCGTGGCACGGTCCTGACAGTTACAGCAGCCTGTGTGTTATCGGAGTAAATGTCATCCAAGAGATAATTAAAAAAAAAAAAAAAAAAAAAGCTAGGCAAAGAGTAAAAAGGAAAAGCTTAATCACTTTATGGTGTCAAAACAAAACAAAACAAAAAAACAAACAAAACCAAAAAAATAAAAATAAAAACAAACAAAAACAACATCAACAACAACAACAACAAAAACCCACTTAAGGCTCTGTCTGGGGAAGGCCCCGATCGACTCAAGCACGACAGTGAATGTAGGTGCGGCTGCCCGGTCACCCCGAGTCCCACATGCCCCACAGAGCCTGGCGCCCCGCGTCTGCAACTCCACGTCCTTGGCAAAAGAGCACCTGTGGCCACCGACAGAAGAAATCCATCCCGCGAGCCACCACGTGTCCGCCCCTCAGGGCAGCCCTTCCGTCCGCCGCGTAGATATTTTTTGTGAGTCCGGTTTGTTTGTGTTTTGTGGTTTGTTTTCTCTCTCGCTGACAAGGAGGCTTCTGCTGTCTCTCGGAGTGCTACAATACGTGCTTTGATGTCACACTGAACAAATGCACACTGTCCCTTTGTTCTCCAGGGTGCTCTTGGACACAGTCTTCACGGAGGAGAACAAAGGCCACACGCTGGCAGTAAAGCACCGTACATAGTAGGTTCAGGAATGTAACACGCCATGTACATCCGTGTCCCAGGAGAGGGCTGCTGGGTCATCTTCACCTCACATCTGCGGGGAGAGCGAGAGACACAAGCTGAAAGCCAGGACCCCAGGTGCACAATGTGGCACAGAAGGGAAGCGCTGACAACATGGGGACTTGATCAGGGCCACACGCCGTGCAAGACTCAGGATTTCAATTTGCCATGAAATCTTTAAAATTCAAACTTGCTGTGTTACTTGGAAAGAACTGGGACCAGGTCATAGCATCACAAAGAATATGTCTTGAAAGCAAGCCCCCTGCTCCCATTATGCAGATAGAGAAACTGAGGTCCAGGAAGGTTCTTTTGTCCTTCTCCCTATTCCTTTCCTTCTAGCCTAGGGCCTGGATGTGACTTCTGGAGCTCTGACAGCTATTTTGGTCCACAAGTCAGCTCAAGACAGATGTCACCAGCCACAGGCCCTGTGACCAGACGACTAAGCTGAGCTGTTTTCATTTTTTGGGATGCCAGGGACCAAACCCAGGACTCACGAGTGCTGGTCAGACAAGTACTATAAGGCCAAGCCCAACCCAGGCTCTAGCTCGTCTCCCTGCACATTCCAACACTGCGCCAGAGCCTGAGGGCTGGCCAGGGCCAGTGGGACACCAGGCACACTAAGCCCCACTACTGCGCCATACCCACTGGGACATTTTCCTCTAGTGGTCCTTCCTGGGACCTAAGTACCTCTCCCACTACACTGCCTCAGAAGCCAGAGCTTAGATACCCATCTCTCAAAAGCCCCCCTACCCAGTCTAGAACAACTATTTGTCTTGGATGTCATGGAGTCCCCTGTGGCAGAGGAAAGAGCAGGGCAGTCAGGCCGGTGACTGGCAGGCTCCACCGTGACTTCATCTCCCCTTTTCTTCTGGGAAGCAACATTTCATACATTTCCCAGGTCAGCAGATGAGAAAACAAGAGCCACTGGGTGGGACTCAGGAACCATCTTTCTTCCCACTTTACTCTTTCTTCTAGCCTACAGCACAGTGACTTCTGGAGCTTTAGCAGCCACATCGGGCCATGGGGCAATTCTGAGGATGGATGCTGGACATGGGTCAGCTGTATTCCTCTGGCTGGTACACAGGAGCTAAGAGATCCACTCAACACTCCGCAGTCCTCCTCTGCACTCTGCTGAGCCTCGGTTTCCTCACCTGTCAGTGGGGCTGGAGGCTTGCCCCAAGACCTCGGGCTAGTAAATGTCAGACCCAAACCCTCCCTTCTGCGTGTGATGCCTAGCAGCCCAATCAACACAGAGAACAGAGTGGCAAGAGGGGATCCGAGCGTAGTGAGCATAGACCACGGCTCCTGTGCACAGGAGGGTCCGGAGCGGCACAGACCCACAGCCCAGCAGACCCGAAGCAGGCAGACCCGAGGCCAATCAGGGCCACGGCCACCCCGCCAGGCAGAAGCTGATCATTTGCTGATGTGATCACTGATTGCTCCCCCAGCCTTCATGGTCGCAGCTCTCCCAGCATGGCGGGGTGGCAGGGCCTACCTGGTTGGCGGCTTTAGGTGGGTTTTAACCTTTTTCTTTTCCGTTTTTTACCTGACTCCCTACGCCTTCCTGTTGGTGAAAGGCAGGGACGGTAAGTGGCCTCAGGGAGGCTGGCAGGAGCAGACTGCAGCAATAAATACCTAAGTGTTTATCTTGAGGGAAAACTCGGCCCGCCCTGGCTGAGACACTTCCCGGTCCCTCTGCCCTGGGGCAAGCCTGGGGGCCACAGGCGCCTGCTGCTGCTCAAGACTGACCAGGAAGGCCATAGCAAGTGCCCAGCATCCATCTGTCCGCCTGCTCCTCTGCCCACTTGGCAAGGTCTTCTGTACCCCTCACCTGGCCCAGTTCCTCACTCCAGCTAGAAACTGTTCTTTTGCCAGCTCTCCAGGGGGCAGAACCACGTCTCAAAGTGGCAGAAGCCCACTCTTGCTGCTAACAAGGCTTAGACCCATTAAGCTATTACCCAGGAGATCCCATACCAGGGGCCACTTAAAACCCCTGGAACATCCAGTACTGGTGAGGATCAGGGCAGCCACTCACCCGTCTCCTCTTCCCGATGGTCTGGATTCAGGCTGGAGGTCGCACACGAACACTCCAGGTGTTCCTCTAACCTCACCTGGACCTCTTTCAACTTTGGCTTCTTCCTGACATACTCCACTTTGGCCACCTGCGGAGAGCAAAGCGACTGTGAACACCAAGGCCCACCCCAGGGTGTGAGTGGGCCTAGAACAGCCCAACCTTGACCTCTGACCTCTACAAGGGCAGGTGTACAAGTGAAAAACAAGCTTAGATTCATTTTTTGTTTAGGACAAAACCCAAAGGCTCACAGGCCCCTGGCAGTCTGAGCTTTTACAGAGCACTGGACAGGGCCGGGGTCAGGATTTGCTGTTACTGTGCATGGCTAGTGCCAGTCAACCCTCAGCGTGCCCTCCC